AAAATTTCCTCTGACATCTATAAATATGTTAAATGTAGTTTTCATTTAGCTAATATTTATATAATACAAGGGACTTTACAGTCATGTCATGATCTCAGTCTCCCGTTCTTATAGTCCTGTCAGGACAGAAATTGAATAACCCGTGCTATCTGTGAGAAATAATTACCTTTTTAAGTTTAGAAGCCATACTTCTCTTGTATAGGATAGACCAGTGATGATGAACCTTTTAGAGTTTTCAGTGATACAGAGAGCCTGCAGTGGCACATGTGCCATAGGTTTACCACCACTGGCGTAGGAAGTTTAAGTCTGTAATTAGTTTTCAACCAGTGACTGCGTTTTTTTGGTAAGAGCAATTATTTTTGTGGGCTGGGGATTCTCCCATGTCCCTTGGATTTTCCTGCTGAATTGTGCTGGATCTTTCTTATCCCACATGATTATCCTGTTTTAAATCTGACTAACACAGTTTAGACCCTTAAGTAGAGAACACTGTGTTTATCTGAATTGTATTTGATATCACTTAATTCTTACTCTTTACTGCCAGACTTTTAGTTTGTCTAATCTCCATCAAATTAATAGTGTGTTGCTCTTTCTTTACCTTGCTCATATAAAGTTGGCTGACTTTATGTTACAGATAACATTCTTAGAAAAGTGTTCTAAGGCCGGCCAGATAGCTCAGTGGATTGAAGCACCTGCTTAGGCAGACACAGCGGCTGGGGTTCGATCCCTGGCATGTCATGCTGGCCCTGCCCCCCAGGGGCATGCTGAGATGGTAGTTGAGACTAGGCGTGGTGGCACTCACCTTTAATCCCAGTGCTTGGGAGGCTGAAAACAGGAGGATCACTATGAGTCCAAGCTATGTGGTGAGACCCTGTACACCCTGTAGACCCTGTACCAAATACATTTTTAAAAAAGAGGAAAAAACTTTTGTCCAGGGAGATAGCTCAGTGGCATAAGCTCAAGGTTCTAAGTTTGATCCCTGGTACCAAAGGGAAAAAAAACAAAAATAGAGATAGAAAAGTATTCTATCTTGTAACCTGAGAACAGTTTTTCCTTGTGAAGAAATGGTAAAGAAGAGAGGTTGCAGTTTTTCCTGTAAGGGACAGATCATCAGCTTTTTAGGCTTTCCTGGCCATACAGTCTTCTGTACCTGCCAAGCTACAAATGTAGTAAGAAAACAGATAATACCCAAAAAGTATGGCTGTGATCATAAGCCAGTAAAACTGCGAAAGCCCAGTGGTTGGCTGCATTTGGCTTCCAAGCTGGCAGTACACACACCTCTGGTAAAAACCATTATTGAGGAATGTGATCATCATGTGTATGGTAAACATGTATAAAAATTATACATATATACATATATAACTTGTATGTCATCTGAGTCTAAGGCAGCACTAAAATGCAGAAAATGAAGTATTTTATTAAAGTATTAAAATGTTTATATATATGTCTATATTTACATATATCCATATCTATCTATCTATCTATCTATCTATCTATCTATCTATAGTCCACGAGATACCAGAAGGGAGAGGGTGGTAAAAGGGTTAAAAAAAGAATTTTAAGAAGTTGTTCATATACATGTATCAGCTATCTATGATGAATGTAATCATTATATACCATAAACATGTACCCTCAAAAAACCACATTTTTAAAAGATCTTTATTGAAAGAAATGCAGTCATGAATCAGACATAATAATTTAGAATAATGTTATATTTATATGCAACTTTATTTTTGCTCACAATGATAATACATGTACCTTTTCTTTTTTGGTGGGGGCTTTTTGAGACAGTCTTGTTCTGTAATTCAGACGGGCCTTGAACTTGTAATGGTCCTGCCTCAGCCTCCTGAGTGCTGGGATTACAAGCGTGTACCACCCACCACACCCTGCTGAAATGTGCCTCAACCTAAGTTTTATTAATAAACTCTGTGTATTTAAATGCATGTGATGAATGAAGTAGGAGCACAAGTACAGAAGTAGCAGCAAGTGAAGGGCCATCGTCAGAGCTGGTGGTGTGTGGTCAGTGGTGATGAATTGGGGAGAAACAGCCCTTGGACGTTCCCCTTACACTGAAATGGTCACTGTGGTGGAAGACTCCTCAACCTCCTTGCCCACTGAGAGTAGGCCTGTGTGTATTGAGGCTGTGGTGTAGCAATCAGAACTGTAGAGACACAGAGAAAATAAACAGCCCAAACATTTTGCAAGATGTAGTAGAAACCTTATGGGAAGCATCACTGGTCACTGACTATCCTATCTGTCAGTCTAGTAACAGGTAGAATGGTGTCCTGTGCCACTGGTGCCATTGCTTGGCTTGATATTGTAAAAAATAGATCTTGACAGTGTCTGTTACAGCCCACCTAATACTTACCTGTTCCCCCTGCCATGGCATCAGATCCCCCATGGCCTCCTAAATGTCCCAGGCACCATGGCTGAACTATGATGTCTAGGGGAGAAGCCATTACCTGTCCCTGTAGCTGTTAAACATGTGGAATGACACTGAGTCCAGGTTGAAGTGAGCAGTAAATGTAAAGTGTGCACTGAATTTTGAAAATTCAGTATTTAAAAATAAGTAATATTTTTAATGTTGAATATAAACATTATTCAATGTTTATGCCTCAACCTGAGTTTTATTAATAAACTCTGTGTATTTAAATGCATGTGATGAATGAAGTAGGAGCACAAGTACAGAAGTAGCAGTAAGTGAAGGGCCATCGTCAGAGCTGGTGGTGTGTGATATGCCCTATCTGCTCCCAGTACTGGGATTGAATCAGGGCCTTCCCACTGAACTACATCCACCAAGCCCTTTTTCATTTTTATTTGGAGACAAGGTCTCAGTTACTAAATTGCCCAGGCTGGGCATCAAACCTGTGATCGTTCTCTCTCTCCCTCCCAGATTGTTGGGATATAGGCCTGTGCTACCAGTCCTAGCTGAGATAAAACCGTGGATTAAAATATATTCAAGATTCATTTCATCAGTACCATATTTCTTTTTTTAAATTTTTAATGTGACCACTGGAAAATTTTCAGTTATTTTTGGCTAGAACTCTATTTCTATTAGCACTGGTTCACAGATTCATGTTTAAGACGCAAATAACGTTTGAAATATAGTAGGGGCCAGGGAGATAGCTCAGTAGAATAAGCACTTGCCTGGGAAGCACAAGGGCCTGAGTTCAATTCCCAGTTTTGCAAAAAATAAAAATAAAAATAGATAAAATAAAATACAGTTGTTTGTTTGTTTATTTTGGTACTGGGGATGGAACTTGGGGCCTTGTGCTTGCCAGGAAGGCACTTACACCACTGAGCTTTCTCCTTGGCCACGAGTACAGTTTTCTTAAACAGCCCAGATAATAGTTTAAATTATTAGAAGTATATATCATATACATTATTTGTTAATCATGTATTGGTTTGGAAACTAAATTTGATTGTATAAGATTTATTTCTATAATAAAAAGTTTAGAACTTTTTATGATCTGTAAGTAGGTCTTCGGTTTTAGACATTTAAAAAGTACTTAATATTTAATTTTTATTTAAGATATCTTTGAAGATTCATTATTTTATTCTGCAACACGAAAGCCACCTGTGGTTGGGTATGTCTGTTGTCTATCTCTTAAGTGATAAATTATTTGTGCTGACAGACTCTGTTTCTTATAAGAGCCAGATTATGTCCATGTTTTTTTCCTCTGGCATTCTTTGCAACTCTGTTTTTTTTTTTTTTTTTTTTTTAAAGACCTAATCTTAATACCACTGTCTCAAAAAATGTTCTAGTACTTCTTGATCTTTTTTGCCTTTTCTCTCTCCCTTTCCTTTTCTTTTTCTTTTTAATATATCTGCCTTTTGCCTTATAAAGATTGTATTTTACTTTGTATTTATAATGATATACAGTCAGCTATATGAATGCTTCAAAAGAATCTTTTTGGTACAGAAATAACTTGGCATATGTATGTTCTTTGTATCTCATTTATGGTGTAATTATTTTCTTTTGAACTTTATTTCCATAGATTTCATCTGTTGTTTTTGCTTTACAGACACATATTCGATACATGAAAATCATAGTGCATTTTTTCCAAATCTGTCTTGGAATAATCTAAACAGATAGATACACTAACTAGGTAACAAACATACAGCAATGAAAATACTTTTAGAATGGTGAGAGAAAGAAAGAAGGGGATTTCAGAAAGAAGAAAAAGTAATGACTTAATTATATGTTACATATAATTATTAAAAAGTAGATCAAAGTGTACTTTTACTCTGGAGAGTTTATATGCTTTAACCTCTTAGAGGTAGCCATTGTTAACCTTTTACATATGAACAATAAAGAAATGTTTAGTACCACAAAAAATGTTTCTCTTTGCTTTCCTTCCCAGTCCCTTCCCTTTGTCATGAGAACATCTGTTTTATATATTCATGCATGTATATGCACATACATACATGTTTTTGTGATTATAAATATGTGGGATTTTAGGGTTTTTTTACTCTACCTTGGAAATCTTTGAGTCTCTTGCCTTTTAAAAGAGACTAGATGAGATTAAAAAAATAAATAAATACATGAAGAAACTCTGGCTGTACAGTAAATCTGTAAAGAGGATGGTCTTCAAGGCTTATCTCTATTCCCTTGCTGTTACCTTGATTTTTTTTTAAATGAACCAGTTTATTAAATGCCCATTAAAATATATTTTCCATAGTGAAACAATCATTTTTGTAGTACAAAAAATATACAAGTGTATAGTACCAACATGTAATTTGGTGTGGCACCTATTATCAGGATAAGAAAAATGAAAACTAATTTATATATAAATTTTAATTGTAAAGAAAACAAAAAGCCTCTTCTGGAGGGTCAACAACTCAAGCCTGCAGACCAAAACCAGAGAAAAAGGAGGGCTGCAAGGAAGGCCAACATCCTGGCCTTAGCCTTCCAAGGTCAACCAAGACTCAGGACATACGAGAACCCACACTGCAACATCACGCAACTCAGTAGTGTCCCAAACTTTCTGACCAAGGAGATCATGGGGCCAAAGAGGAAAGCGAACGATGGTGTAGAGTGAGCCCAAGGAGTGTTACCTTTATTTTTGTGTAACATTACAAAACTTTTGATGTTTCGGTACCTTAAAATAAGATACTTTCTTCCTTTATCTTCTTTCTTTATTCTTCCGGTTTTCTCATTGTTAAAAACATAAAATCATCGTACACTTTTTTAAAATATAGGAGTGCTTAAACTGGAAACTGGACACAGACCTGGGTTTCTTTTCCTATTAACATGATCATTCACACTTTTGGAGGGGAATTATAGAAATCAGACTCAGGACCCCACTCTTGCCCAGCAGGTACTGTGCTACTGAGCTGTATACTTTTTAAATGACTGCTTTTTTTTTCATTATATGAAGTAGTATAATTTACTTCATCCTTTTCTTAGTGTTAGATGCTTAGATTTCTCATTATTACATTAAACCTTTTAAAAACTTATTAAGCATTTGCATTGATTCTATCATTTTGATTGCTTTTCAACAAAAAGGTTAAAATTTTAAAGAAAGTACTTTGAATTTTGTTTTCAGTTTCACTCCAAATTTCAAAACTGGTGGAACTTAGAAGTCCAGCTTTGGCTGCTTTATCTTTAATTTGCAGAATATAGGTGCTTACTTTAAATATATTATGGTTTTCGTTTTCATTTTTCAGTGGATCAGTTAATCCTTGAGTTCTATGATGCTATGAAAAATTTTGCCTCAAAGGCATAGAACAAAGCTAACGAACATGTCAGATTTTAATGTGAAATTTGTGAAATGATAGGTAATTGGTTTTTGTTTTTTTTAATCAGTGACTTTTTTGAACGGACCATTCTATGCAACAGCCTTGTGTGGAGTTGCGCTGTGACGGGTAGACCTGGACTGACATACCAGGAAGCACTTGAGTCAGAAAAAAAAGCAAGACAGAATCTTCAGAGTTTTCCAGAACCACTAATTATCCCCGTTTTATACTTGACGAACCTTACCCATCGCTCACGCTTGCATGAAATTTGTGATGATATCTTTGCATATGTGAAGGACCGATACTTTGTTGAAGAAACTGTGGAAGTCATTAGGAACAATGGTGCAAGGTAAAGTACTTTTAATTTATCCTCTTGATAAGTATATGTTCATACTACTCAATAGTCAGAACTTTAAAAAAGGGCGACCTCAAGAAGTCTTCCCTTTTACTGTCCCTCAGCGTCTTGTTATCCTACATAGAGCCCACAGTTTCTCGTCTAGCCTTCCAAATCTAATCTGTACGTGTGCCTCTAATAGCATGTGCGTGTGCGCATCTCTATCTGTGCGAACATACATTTGCACACTCCCTTTTTAACACAGTAGACAGCATGTTGTTCTTTTTTTCACTTAAAATATTTTGGAGATCATTCCATTACTACATAAATTGCCTTTCTTCTCTTTAATTTATTATACAGTGAGTCCTATCATAGAAAGTTGGGTTTTGTTTTGTTTTGTTTTGTTTTTTGTTTTGGAGAGTATTTGGGGTTAAACCTTTGCACCGAGCCATGTCATGAGCCCTTTTTGATTTTTTTAGAGACAAGGCCTCTTTTAGCCACATACTTGCCCAGGGTGGGCTCTAACTTGGGCAGTTCTTTAGGTCTTGCCCCAGCTTCTCAGAGTGCTGAGATTACAGGGGTGTACCACCACTTCCATAGAAACTCCATTTTTGAGAGTGAAAAACCTTAAATAATAATGTCTTCTGTATCATCATTATGTTACTTGTTTGTATTTCTTGATAGGTTTTAGTATTTTATTTAATAAAATAGGAACTGGGTTTTATAAACTCTGCAAAGTTCTTTTCTTGTTCCTCTCCCCTCCTTTCTTCGAGGCCAGGGTTTCAATCCCCAGGCCTAATGTGCTGGTGCTGGCTCCTGAGATGGCAATTGAGACTGAGCGTGGTGGTATGCACCTGTAATCCTAGCTCTTGGGAGGCCGTAAACAAGAGGATCACTAAGAGTCTGATCTAGTAGTGAGACCCTGAACACCCTATCAGCCCTCCCCTAAAATACCAAAAAAAAAAAAAAATTAGCTTATATTCTTTATGGTTTTATTTTGGAGAATCATTACAAGTTTATAAGTAACCTTAATAATATCCTAAATACTGGGCTGGCCAGATAGCTCAGTGGACTAAAGTGCCTACTTAGGCAGAGCACGGTGGCTTGGGTTCAATCCCAGCTCAGTGGACTAAAGTGCCTACTTAGGCAGAGCACAGTGGCTTGGGTTCAATCCCCGGCATGCCATGCAGGCCCTGCCCCAGGGGCGTGCTAAGACAGCTATTGAGACTGGGCATGGTGGCAGGCACCTGTAGTCCTAGCGCTTGGGAGGTTGAAAACAGGAGAATCATTATGAATCCGATCTACGTAATGAGACCCTGTACTAAATACATTAAAAAAAATTTACAATATCTTAACTAGCTAGGTGTGGTGGCAGACCCTATAATCCCAGCACTCAGGAGGCTAAGGCAGAAGAATTACTGTGAGTGTGAGACCAGCCTGCATTATGAAGTAAGTTCAAGACTACCCCAAACTGCTTAATGAAACCCTATCTCGAAAAGATCCTCCGCACCAAAAACCTAAATAATATAATCCATTTTAAATACTAAAAGTTACTCTGTATTATCCTTAAAAAGCCAAGCAGTGTTTTTATATTAAGATCTAAGATTGTTTGGGTTGGATTTTGACAATTCAGTAAGGTTTTTAAAAAAAATTATGGAAGCAACAAATAGTAAAACTGGAAAGATTTTTCATACAAATAATGACTTGAGAAAATTATATCTTTATTTTAGAAAATTAAAGCACATAAACAAAAGGGGAAGAAGAGACATATACTACCAGTAATTCCACCAAGAAAATGACTTTTATAAAAAAAGGGTCACGGGCTGGGGATATAGTTCAGTGGCACAAGTGCCTGCCTGGCAAGTGCAAGGTCCTGAGTTCAATTTCCGGTAACACCCCCCCCCCCGCCCCTAAAAAAGGATCATATTATAAATCCTGTTTTGACTCAGTGTTATAGTTTTTACTTTGAATGGTATAGTTAGAAAGTAGATTTGTGATTTGTACTATGTCCACCAAAGGAAATAATCAAAGCAGTTTTTTGAACAATGAATATCTTTTTCTCTTTATGGCTGCTCTGTAATTTGGTTTATGCCAAAAAACTTTGTAATTTATAAAATATTGTGATACATTAATAATATAGCTCACATGTAAAAAATGCAGTGGTTTAGTGTTTTCTTTATAACCTTTTTTATTTTTATGTCTTAAAAATCTGCTCAGGTAGATGTAGCTGTTACTAACAGTAGTAAGTTAGCGTACAGCGTAGAAAGGGAAAACCTGGAAGCAATTTAATTGAAATTCATGAGGAAGCGTATACCTGTTTAATAATCTATTAAATTGTAAATGTAAGAAATCGGTATTTTTCTGAAAAAATACTGAGGCTTAATTTGTTTATGTATTGGACATTCTCAGACTGTGACCATGCCTAAAGCTTTCCTCTGTTCCCCTTAAATATAACATTCTGGGTATATTCTTTTAAAATAGTTCAAAATAATAGTGTTTTCCTAATACAGTTAAGTATAGAACTGGATTAATCTGAGAAGTGCTGTAAGAATTCAAAAACATGAATTCAGTGCATGACTACTTGATTTCTCTTTAAAAGTTAGGGATAAATTGGGTGCACTGGAATGCTTCTGTAATCTCAGATAGCCAGGAGGCTGAGACAGGAGGATCAGAAGTCTAGGGGCCTCTCTTAGAAGGGAAGGGAGAAATATATGGAAAAAATGTGTATGGAAAATATAGATATTACAGTTAGTAGCTGTATTTCTATTAATATTTCTGTTTCTATTGCAGTTAATAGATTTCTTTCTTGCCAGGCATGGTGGCACATGCCTGTAACCCCAGAACTCAGGAGTTCAGGGCCAACCTGGCTATATAATTTAGTTCAAGGTGAGGTTGCACTACACAGCAAGAGCCTGACTCAAAAAAAAAAAAAAAAATCTATTTCTTGAGTCCTCGGCTTCCAGGATTACTAAGATTACAGGTAACTTAGGGTTTAGGTTTTTGAGAAAGGTATAGGTCTTGGAATTTGAGACTCAAAATCAAAAGACAGCAGGCAGTATAGGTTGTTAGGGTTTGTTCAAATATTTTATGAAAGCATCTTTTTTAGGGATACTGAGAATTGATCCCAGGGGTGCTCTGTCACTGAGCTCCAACCCCAGTTCTTTTAACTTTTTTTAAATTTTCAGATCATAATTGTTAAATTGCCCATATTGGCCTTGAACTTGAAATCCAACTGTCTCAGCCTCCCAGGTCACTGTGATTACAGGTGTGCCCCACTTTGTCCAGCCCTAACACATCCTTAAGGCTAGCATCTTTTTATTTCTTATTTATTTTTTTAAGGCTAGCATCTTTCATGAAGTTATTTTGTTTGTCTTTGTAACTTGCTGTGAGAATGTTGAAAAAAGAGTACTAGGTAGGGTAAAAGTAAGTGCAAAATACTAAGACAGCATAGGAAATAGAATGGGCACTGATGGGTCTGGGAGCTGACTAAGAAAGGAGGCTTGGCCTAGCTGGTGTTGCACACCTGTGATCCTAGTGGTGGGAGGCGGCAGCAGAAGGGTTACCTTGAGTTCAAGACTCTGTCTCACAAAGAAAAGGAAACTTAAGAAACCAGTGATCAGTTTTTATTTAAGTCTAGTAATTAAAGCCTCTTTTATTTGTTTTTTGAGACAGGGTCTTGCACTGTAATGCAGGTTGACCTTGGCACTCACAGTGTAGTCCAAACTCATAGTGATCCTCCTGCCATGCCTGACTCAGTCTTTTTAATCCAAAGCAGAAACATACCAGAAAAATCTTTAGAAATAATTGAAAACCTCCTTCCTTTAGGACTAATTAATACTGTTACTTGTTTTTCTGTGGTCTTATAAATCTTCCACACAGGGGCTAGGGAGATGGCTCAGTAGAATAGGCACTTCCCTGGCAAGTGCAAGGGCCTGAGTTCAATCCCTGGTTCCAGTGAAGTGCTAATTTACAGGGAAGTAGCTTTTTTTTTTTTTTTTTTTTTTTTTTTTTTTTTTTTGGCAGAACTCAGGATTGAACTCAGCCCCTCACGCTTGCCGGGCAAGGGCTTATTCTACTGAGCCATCTCCCCAGCCCCTGAATCCCTGGTTCCGGAAAAAAAAAAAAAACCTTCCACACAACCCCATGAGATGTGAAATAATAACATAATCCACTTCAGAGGGCTATGTCTTTATATGTTGGTTCTGCTTCTATTATAGTAGTATTCAGAAATACTTCGATCTCCTTCTTGGTGCCAGACATTCTTTAGGCACTGTGGGTTCAACAGTAAACAGGGTTGGAGGAAATAAGTGAGAACAGTGTCGTTCTGTACCCTCTCTGTCCTGGTTCCACCTTGCTGGCCTACCAGATGGCTTGCCTGACATTTGTCCTGTGAACCTCCCTTAGAGCCTGCTGGAAGAAGGCTGATGGTCTTGGAAAAAGGCTTTAAGAGAAAAGATCTAACATTCTGGGTTGAAATCCAGAAATAGGGCTAAAAGCAGTGCCTTTATTGCAGGCAGCTGGGTAAATGCTCATTGAAGAGAAGATTAAACATGTTTAATACATTTTGCAAACTAAAATAAAAGACTTATTAAACTGGAAGTCAGGTCTATTGATTCCTACATACTTACCAGATGCTTTATGTATACCATATATCAGTAGGTGTAAGGCAAGAAACGATCTCCCTCCACTTATAGATGAGGAAACAGAGATGCAAAGAAGTTGTAAACCTTTTTTCTGTAATTGTTCAACATATATTTATCGATCTGGTATTTGTTTCATTAGTTTCAGCACTGGAGCTACAGCAGTGAACAAAACAAAGTTGCCCAGTGAAATCAATCATATGCACCTCCCACATCCCCCTTCAAAGAAGAGGAGAAAGCGATTCTACTTCTAGAAAAGAGTTACAACTTCCTAAAATAGACTATAACGAATAACTGCCAAATGCTGTTAATTTTAGACCAAACTGAAGTATGTCTAGAACTGACATCCACCTTTGTAGTAGTCAAGGAACAGAT